AGGCTTAAATCAATGACTGGACGCTTGTTTCACAGAATACAAATACCACATATCACCAGGTGAGCCAACTTCAACCCAACCGGACTGAGTGGGATGACTCCGCTGAGGTCAACAGAATTGTAACAGCTTACTCTGGATTTACAGCTGGAACAACAAAGCACTACGCAAACCTAAGTAATTAATTATAAGCCAAATGCCAGGCCGGGAATTTTATAATAATCCAAGCCTTTTTCAACAACCCAAGCAACTGTGTTCACATTCTAGACAGTCTTGGATGAATATTTCAGATAAACAGTGAGGATTTTGATAGCAGAAGCCACTCTTCTACCAGCATTGCTGGGTACTGTGGCTCTTGCAGCAGCTCAGGCTGCCAGGTAAGGACTCCACTGCAGTAGGCGCCGTGCTATCAAGCCGATGGGCATGCCCCACTGTGTGCATGCTACAGTGTATACACAAAACACAGGAGACAAGCTAACCGTCAAGAAAGTAAGAAGCAGCTGGTGGGGAGCTAAAACTATAGGCAGCAGCTAGCATAAAGCAGAAATCAAAATCTCCCATGTAAGAATTGCTGAAGACATCCCACTGGAAGCAGAGTTCTGCCTCCCATACACTCATACCTAACTGTGCAACTGGCGTTTATAGAAACTCAGGCAAGTGGCATCTTTGTGACACACTAAGCAGTGCTCTGCTCTCGATCAACAAGGCTCCTCACAGTCCTGTGCTCTGTCCACTGTTGCTTGCCCATCGCCTGTGGTCCACCAGAAAGCCATTCACATTGGAGAAGGGGCTCCATTCACTCTCTGAAGTACAGACATTAAGCAGGGATGCTCAGAGTTTGCCTCCTACATGCAACTTGTACCTTATGGAGACTCAGCCCCACATTTCTACTTACCATTTCAGAGTGGCAAAGCAGGAATGTGGCAGCACAGGCCATCCCTCCTAAAACCTTAGCTTCATTTTAACACACCCTTTCTCAAGAATCTTGTCTTCTTTAGATGAAGTTCATGTAACAGTTTCTTCACCACTCCCTTCCTCCTCCATCACATCTGTCATTTGCGTACATCCAGGTCCTGCAGTGTTTAGTAATGGCTGTGCCAGTAACACAACCTGTGAAAATTACCCTCATACCATATCTCAAGACTGAGGCTCTCCAAAGTGAACATTTCTCTGGTCACACTTTCCCACCTTTTCTTCATGCAAACAGGAAGGAATAACAATACAGGAGGAACAACTTCCTACTCTCAAGGCACTGCCATCCTCCCAAGTGACAGCTGGGATGGCTATACTATTTAAAGAACCAGTAAAGGGAGAAACAAGTACAGCTAGAGCTAGGTTGCAGCCGTTAAGAGCATTCGAGCTCTTCCTGTGACTCTGCCATGGTTCTTCCTTTGCTGTGCCTCAGTTTCTCGCTACACCTGTTGGCCCTAGATATTTAGATGGCAAACTCTTCTTTGCCATACTGCAAATTCCAGCCTGGGAGCTGAGAATCCCTGCAATGTCTCCTGATGCTCCCTGTCATGGACAGGATGATCTCAGAACATCCCAGCTGTCACAAAAGGATGAAGCCTGAGACTACTTATGCAGCCCTAACCCAGAGCAAATATTTAATGGAGACAAGGCCCTTTCCTCCCCAGGCAGCAGCCTGTTCACATGCAGTTGTTCCAAGGCCTTCTATCCTGTGGTAACCTTGCTCATGTAGCCACGGTTACCATCGTAACACTGGTGGGGCAGCTGCAACTGAAATGACATGTTGATGCCCACTCTGCCCAAAATGCTGGGATGAGCACGCAAGACACAGAAGAGTGACCATTCAGGTTTGCTGGTGAAGGGAGAAGATGAAGCAGATCTTTAGAGCTAGAAGCTGCCACTTAAACAAAGCTACAGTTCTGACATCAACCACATAAAGGAGACAAACCATGGAGACCACAACGTGGCAGCACTTCTCTCCGCCTGTCTGCAATACCAACATATTTGATGTTCATGCACTGTAAAAGCACCACTTGCTTTTGTGAACAGGATGCACTTTCTCAGCACTCTGCAGCAGGCTGGTTTGTCTGTGCATCATGCTCTCATCATGCTCAGAGATGCGCTTGCCGCAGAAAAACTAGTGCTGGTACTTTGGCTTACTGCCACATCCTTTGGTTTTGCACTGGCAGCACTGGAAATCAGCAAAGCGAATCTGATTTATCATGCTGCAGCAGAGCGGTGTGCCCTGCCACCAAGAAACAGATGAGATGGATTTCATGTAAGTTGGCTCATTCTTTGCTCTTTCTGGATGTAATTGAAGAAGAGGTTGCCATAGGACAGTCAGTCCTTTCTGAAGTAACCAAGTACGCCACATCCTCTATATAAGGTACTCTTACAATGGTCTGTTAAGACAGCAAAGGGATATTGTTCCAACCGTAACAGCAGAAAACAGACTAAGCAATAATACACCCAAGGTCAGGCCTGCAGTTTGTCACACAGCAGGGATCTGAACCCAGGTTTGGTGAATCCCAGTATAGGACAGAACCACTGGCAAGTTTCCAGCAAATGCAGCGTTAAACCTCCCAAAGGGAGCAAAGTGGAACGACAGCTTATTTGCCTCTGACCTAGCAGTAGCAGATGAAGAAGAGACTGCAAGTCACACCTGCTTTGGGGCACAGCTGGAATTGCTTGCGGGCAGGAACTACTGCAAACAGGTTCCCCCTTCTTTGTCATCCCTACCCACTCTGAGCCCACAGTGAAATCCACAAGCATGTGGATTTCTTTCCTCAGGCATGAGAGAAAGAAATCTAAAGCAGTTTGCTCAAGAGCAAATCCCTTGAAAAACAGCTGACTTTGCAAACACTCCAGTGCATCTGTACACACCATATTCCCCAAAGGCCTGATCCTAGGATCCAGCCCAGAAGGAAAACCATCGTGGTATTCAGTTCTGCACAGCACACACAGGTTAGCACGATCACCCCTCTTACAACTAGCATGTTCCTTGATCTGCTCCATTCATTCTACCTAAGAGGTAACATAACCCTTATGTACCCTCTCTGGAGGGGATCAAAAACCCCAGGTAACATGAGCAGGCAACTTAGCAAATCACTTACACTTCTATTCTACCCTCAGAAGGCTGTTCTGCCAGACCCATCATGGCAGTGACAGACGAGACCAGAGTCCAGGGGCAGACAGATCATATAGGTCAGTATCCTGCAAGACACCACCTCCTGCTTGCAGGCACACTTACAAGACGACTACCCCAGGCCAGAGGGCAAATCTTGGGAATAGTTCAGATGCAGACTCCGAAGCCTGGGCATGTCAGCCTAAGCCCATCTGGCACAGGGAGGTGACTGCAAGGCAGGAGAAAGCTCGGTACAGGTCTGATTCTGCAACTAGGACACATTTTAGAACATCCTTGAGGCTACAGTAACTTCTGCTACCTGTCCCAATTGCAACAGCTGAATGCAGAGCATGCTTTGGCCATGAGCCCAGGACTGCACGGTGGTAGCATGTAAATAGCCTACTGCATTCACCGGGGACTGGATGGACCATGCTGAGATTTGCAAGCAGCTGCCAGGCAAAAGAAACGGAGGAGGACTGTGACATGACCCTCCACAGGAAGGAACATCTGAAACTTCCAACGCTTAACTCAAAGCATATCAAAACATCTATGGAAGAGGAAATAGGCTGGAAACTGGATAAAGTCTCTCTTGGTATCTCATCATCTTCTTGACTGTGAGAGAAGCCTTCTCTCACTGGGTATTTTTCCCTCTGGATGCAACCCAGAGTAGAAAAAGTAGTTTATTAAAACTTAAATACAGCTTTTGAAAACTTGCCCAGACAAACAAAATGTTAATGCAAGTTTTGGCTTGGTCTTCACTGCTTGGGAAATGACTTCTCTCCTGTAATAAGATGAGCTGTAGCAGCTCTGTTATTCCAATCACTAAAGGCACAAGTATCACCTACAACATGTCTGAAGCACAATACCCTTCAGCACACCTGGTCCCCCTTTACATCTCTCAAGCAGGGAGGGAAGGATGTGCAAGCAGCCTACAGAAACAACACAATGTTGGTGTTCTTTCCTCAGAAATGAAGACTGTGAGGAAACACAGGAACAGACTACCACATGGAAGCTGCTCTAAGGAAAGCGTCAGCTGTTCTCCACCTCAGGACAGAAGTAGTACTCAGCTTTAATGGCAGCAAGGAAGACGAGGTACGAAGGATAACTTTCTAGCAGGAAGAACAACAAAGCACCAGAACAGCTTCCATGCAAAAGTCCTTATCAGCACTCCGGGAGGCGTTTTAGATCAGGTTGGGCAAACGTTTGTCAGAAATGATGTAAGCCAAGTTGATTCTTACTTGGACAGGGAAATTAAGCTAGATAACTGTCAAACTCTCTTCCGACCCATTTTGATCTATGGCCCTGCATCAAGGAACTGAGTGCTGGCCAGTAATCCACACATATTCAGTCACCTGGGTCCCCAGAGATCTCCTGTGTCACCTGTCATGGTTTAACCCCAGTCAGCAACCAAGCATCACACAGCCGCTTGCTCACCCCCCCACCCCCGGTGGGATGGGGGAGAGAATCAGAAGAGCAAAAGTGAGAAAACTTGTGGGTTGAGATAAGAACAGTTTAATAATTGAAATAAAATAAAATAAAAATAATAAATTGTAATGAAAAGGAAAACAACAAAAAAAAGAGAGAAAGGAACAAAACCCAGGAAAAACAAGTGATGCAACCGCTCACCACCCGCTGACCAACACCCAGCCCGTCCCTGAGCAGTGGTTACCACCCCCCAGCCAACTCCCCCCAGTTTATACGCTGAGCATGACGTCATATGGTGTGGAACAGCCCTTTGGCGTTTGGGTCAGCTGGCCTGGCTGCGCCCCCTCCCAGCTTCTTGTGCACCTCCTTGCTGACAGAGCATGGGAAGCTGAAAAGTCCTTGACTTAGTATAAGGACTGCTTAGCAACAACTAAACCATCAGTGTGTTGTCACATTATTCTCATGCTAAATCTAAAACACAACACTCTACCAGCTACCAGGAAGAAAATTAACTCTATCGCAACCGAAACCAGGACACACCCTAGTAGAGTCACTCTGTGTCTGTCAGTTCCTCACTTGGAAAGGAGTCTCATCCCTACAAGAGCACAGGCTCAGCTGAGAGTGCTGTGAGGATAAGCACATTTCTCAGACTCTGTAAGGTCCCTGAGAAAGTCCTTTTCACCCCACATCTTGTGTGGAAGACTGAAAACACAGGTGGTACTTGCACTTAAGGGTGCTTACACTGAAATTACACCAGAACAAGAATGGTACTCTGTCCTCCAGCATACTAGATTGTCCAAAACCATGGATTAACACAGGCTTCAGGCCTCCCATTAACAGTATGAAGTACAACCCCAGTCCTGCATCACAGCCGCGAGGTCCCCTCCCAGCTTCCCCACATGAGCCCCGCACCGAAGCTCTGTTTTACTGCCACAAGAATAGAGGTTAAAGCCCCACGTTGCAGCTGCATCTACACTGAAGCCCTCTGTTGACCCGAGTTCTCTCAACATCTTGCCATGCTCCCCACACAGCGGGAAGCCCGTGGCAGGACTGTTCTCCAGCACAGACACAGCTAAGCTGAGACCACAGCACCATCTGCAGGGCTCTGCCAAAGACCAAGCTTTTACCAACTCCTCCTCAGGAAAGGCCAGCATGATCCTGGTAGATACTTTGCACCTAGTAACTCTCCAAAACACAGACGTGAGCACACACACACACGCACAACCACACTCTTCAGAGTCCTGCTGGAAAACAAAGCCCCTCTCTGAAAGCATCAGGAAACAAATCACCGTTTTGATACAGTTCCAAAGACCCAGTAAGTCCCAGAAAATTAAATGTATGTCAGATATTGGATTATATAAAATGCCAACTGAAGCATCAGCCTTCCGTAGCTTCAGGGAGCAGCTATGCCTCTGCAGAGAGCTCACGTGCACGGTATATTGCTGGCATCAGCTGAGCCTCTTACTCACAGGCAACAAAGACAACACAGACATGGTCCACTGCTTTAGGAAGGGCGCTGGGAGTGCCTGTGGTTCCTTAAAACCACCATCTCCAAAAAACTTTGCAGTGCTTCTATACCAAAATGAGCCTGGGCCAATATGCATAAAGCACTGAAGAACACATTGTGCAGCACATTCCCTCAGATGCGAGTCTGACAAATAAATCCAGCCTCTTGGGAGGAAGAACAGTTTTTCTCCATTGTTGTCTTTATGAGAAGGTCGGCAGCACCATGTGATTTTCCGAGACATGTAACCACTATGCAGTGCAAACCCACAGAAATGTAAGCATTTTTATTAGTGCTTTAGCTATAAATACAGGAATTTAACACTTGTCCTACTGGATTAGGCCAAGAGTCTGTCTCACACAGAAAGTGTCCTGCTCAGAGCTCTGACAAGTGATTGATTGATGCTTCCGAGAAAAGGCACACTGCTTTCTGCAGCCCAGCCACCAGCGCTCTCAGAGGGACATCTAACTCCAGCCTGCTGCAGGGAATCAGCCCAACCCTTGAAGAATGCAGTATGATGCTGTTTAACACTCTCGTAAGCCAGTAAACTATCCACCTTTTAAAGTATCCTGCAGAAGTAAGCTGTGCATGTTGCTGTTTCATACTGCCAACACCCAGATGGAATCTGTGAACTGTTTAAAAATTAAATTTAAAGAAATGTCTGACAAACTGAACTTTAAAAAAAGACCCTAAACTATTTTTTTAAAAAAAACCAAACAAAACACCACCTCTTTTGACTACGATTTGTACTCATGGTTCTAGCAGGCAAAACTGCCAGAAATCAGCTGTGCTGGAACTTTATTTCCAAACCTATGATCAAATGCACTTCAGCTGAACTTTTTTAATTCTCTCCTTCCCTAGATTTCCTCTACTGTGTTTAACCAGGGCAGGTACTGCAGTCCAGAGAAGGCTCATTAACTTCAAGTAGAGTGTACAGGACATGCGTAGAGCATGCATAGCACCCCATGCTCTACTGGGGTGCGTAGAGCGGTGGGGAGGATAAATGCAGGGCTCGGTGGTGCAATGGGGTGAAAGGCCAGTCTGTGAACAGAGCTGTAAAAGCCCAGAGGGTGGGGAGAGGATCCAACTGGAGACCTGAGCGCTGGTACATCAGAGAGCACTCAGGTATCTGTGGAAAAGCAGGGCCAATGTTCAAGAGTTACAAAGCGAATGAAAGAGCAGGGAGCATGAGTGTGGGAGAGGTAGAGGGGAAAGGGACTAGATGTATTGGTGCTCATGTAAAGCCCTCTGGATCTGCCGCAGCCTTCCAAACAGATGCAGTTTGCTGATGCAGCTCCTACCTAGTGTTTCTGGCAACACACTCCCAGTTTAGCCTGGACCGAGAGCCTGACAGCACGTGTCACTGTCTGGACACTTCCAGCCTCACTTCCACTGGCCCAGCAAGCGCTTCCATTCAGACTGGTAGACCAGGTCCTTTGGTTTGCTTTCTTTCCCTCCTTCCCTGGCTAGCTATGGTCAGGAAGGGAACTTGCAACAGTGGAAACACCACCAACAAGAAGCAGCAGCTTGAATTTAATCCTTCCATTATTTATAATGTCCTGATGTTGACTGTCCATTTCAGGGACTTCTCTCAGTGTTGTTTCAGGCAGCCCTACTCTGAGTCATCCTTCCCAAAGAAACAGACCACAGCTATTCCCGCGGCTGTCAAGAGACTGGGTCCTACTCCAAACTTAGCCTGTTGTCAAATTTTGTATGTCATGTATGTCATTTCACCTCCTGTTTTTCAATTTCTCCATCTGCGAAACTGGAGCAGCGATTCTGGCCGCCTTTGTAAAGTCTTGCATTTAAACGCCTTACATGGAAGTTAGGCATTTCTATTACTATGAGAAACAATGTGCGGGTCCCAGATGTTTATTCAGGTCTGCTAGCATGTTTGAAAACGTAATTGCACAGCAATTCCTGTAAGGACACTTCCTGATCTGAAGCACTACCTTTATTACAATGTTTTGATTGTTTCTGGCAGCATCCACCAAGTGGCAGGTGCTGTAGATTCAGATGGTATAACATGTGCACTGATCCTTCAATGACATGTCATTCAGCAGAACTGGGAAATGAAGGCTGCTTTGCTCTTGGAGATCTACTCCAGAGCATCAGGATCCTGGAATAGAACTGAATTTGAAATGTGCCGGTTAGTCATGTTCCATTATACCAGCAAGTCCATGTGCCAATATAAGCCAGAGGTTGGACCTATCATCCAATCTGGTCACATTCTATATAAATTTATCTCAAGGCCAAAAAAAAAAAAAAGTTAAATTCTTTCTAGGTCAAATGGGTGATCTGACATGTTGAGAAGTTGTATTTTTAATGAAATATCTGGAGCTGTGAACTCTTCCATATTGGGTCCTGAGATTAACGAGTCACTTTAGCAAAGCAAACTAAAAAGTTCCATGCAGTTCCCCGAGGAAGGTGAAACACTTGTACGTGCTCTGCTGAACTTCTGCATCTCTGGATGAAGTCTGTATCAGGAAACAAGGGGGTCTGCCACTGCATGGAGAGTTCAATGCACTGGGGAATGAAGCGCAGATTCCTTTTGCCATGCAGAGTTTTCAACAAGCTGTTCAGCAGGGCTCACCAGCAAAAAGCATACTGCAAGAAGAGTTATTTCTGGTACAGCTGTCATCTGCTTTGTTTTTGGATGTGCAGAAATCTAGGCCTGTGGGAAAAAGAATGTTCAGAGCTTTAAATCTTGCTAGGGAGAACATGCCTCTACCTCCATCCTATAAAAGCAGCAATTTTCCAATGGCGATAATCTCACCAGAGCTAGTCACCCCATCAGAAACGCTTATATGCATCAGAATTTCTGACTCAGAAACACTTGCCAGGCTATCTCATGATATGAGAAGGTTGAGATACTTGAAGGGAACCCCTGTTTTGTTAAAGATTGGCTTCAGCTGTGGACTTTCCCTGGCTGAGTTCATTCAATACATCAGGGTGCAGGGATGTAATCTACAAAGGACACAGATTATACCTGAAACAAAAGTCTGAAGGTAAAAAGGACTTACTTGCCACAGAAGTCCTTGTGAATGGCACGAAGGACGAGTAGTAAGTTGGGGTGTGCCTGTAGCCAGTTCTCCACCATATTTGGGTGTTTGGGATCAACTTCCAGAAACACGCTCCTGAAAGGACACATTTGGGAGTAGAAAGTGGGGAGATGCACACATTTAGGTTGCTAAACCGATAAAAATTAAGGTCTTTCTTTCTGGATGACTCCTATCAGTGCAGGAAATGAGAATATCACCAAACACACTGCAATCCAATAATCCTAAAACAGATCATAGCTTTCCATTTAAGATACAGATCCTAACTGCCTCCTTTGGGGCAGAAAGTGTTGATCTTAGGGGGAATTCTCATGGTACTCCTCTGTGAGAGCAGTTAAACCCTTGGATAGAGATGTAAGGATCCCTTTTGAACCCACGCAGAGATACCGCCAGCTCTGTCTTTCTGAAGCCCCCAAAGCTTTAAGGCCAGAATGAAGTTTTATGATGCAAATGCATGAACACTGAGCACTGGACTGGCAGCATGAAGTTCCTCTTTGTATAAGCAGGGTGACATTAAGTCCTAGTAGTGAGAGTCATAAAGTACAAGTTAGTACACACATTTTCCCACAGTAAATGTCTCCATAAATCAGTTATGAAAACACCACCAGCATTCAGACCTACATAGAGGACTGTACAAAGGAGAGTGCAGCAGCGATAAGGGAACTAATCGGACAACCTCAGTTGTCACCAGGACTAGGCCTGGACACTGCAGGGCTATTTCCACCTCTGCTGCAGCCGGGCTTTATGACACTGGCCCATTTCTGAGTCTCCACTCCCACGACAAGGCAGAACCACCCTAGCTTATAGGCACACGGAGATGATGGAACTGGTTACAGCCTGTGACAGTGCAGCAAGATACAAGTTTAACAGGCAAAGAACAAAAGCCAAGCCCCAATCATACGCTCTCCTGAGAATTCCTAAAACATCCCACACTGAATACTCCCTATAAATTCACCAAACTAACTACAAGCTGGGTGTGGATCTCATTGCTGACCTTAAAAAACTTCCACTCCTCAACAGGGACTCCACCTTATAAAACGAGCAAAAAGGGAAGGAAAAAAAATAATCCTAACAAACAACCCCACGGGACCAATCTCTGTTGCTGGGAAGTTCTGAGGAGCATCTTCTGCTCTTGCGCTCATGCAAAGCACGAGGAATGAATTCTTCTGCATGCAGTATGCTTCTCAATGTTCCTGTTCCTCTTCTCAAAACAGCAGATTTTCAGTGACCTCTCTTATGCTGGTAAAATGTCAGGAATTTTCAACAGGATATGTGAATGCCCTGGCACAACAGACTTTTGGGTATCAGCATGTTGATCTTTAAGCACAAAATGGATCCCACATGACAGAGAATAGTAACAATCAGTCTTCAGTATTACCCATGGAGAAATTTAACGTTTAAGAAACTATCCCTGGCTGATCTTCTTTCTCCTGGGATATTCAGCATTGTATCCTGGCACAATAAACAAGTTTCCCCTAATTAAAGGGTGGGAGGGAAGTAGAGATCTACATCCATTCTCACAGACTTCTATATTGCTTCTCCTTCAATCAGTTATTCTGTTTAGAAAGCTTCCTCTTTTTTTTGCGCTGCCTCTTTCTCTGCTGCTCTCTTTCATGTTCTTTTTGTTGCTGCTTTGACCTTTAAAGATTCTCACTTCACTAATGACTATGAAACACCACCACTGGTCAAGGAAGGCTCATATCCCTTTATTAATCAATTTCAAGCTAATTTGGCTTATAGACATGACATTTTTTAAACTGCTATTATTAGATGGGGCGGGGGGGAGGTGGGACACAGACATTTTTGCAATTATTTTCCCTCTGTACCTTCTGAATGAAAACAGAAGTTATAGAAGTGAATGGACGAAAGACATGAAATTCAAACAGAGAACAGTGCTTACCCAGAGTCCTTCAGAAGAGAAGGAGCCAGAGCCAGAATTGTTTTGATGACTCTCATCCCATCATCTCCCCCATCCAGTGCATCAAGGTCCTCATAGCTGGAGCATGGGAATAAAAAGACATTAACAGCAATTCACGTGGCATGAACCGTGCCCTTGAGGATGCATTGCCCCACACTCCAGGGAGGAAGGTCCAGCTAACACACCTGAACTCCAGTACTCCTATAGCAGGTGACAGCACTCATAGCTTTTATGTGAAATACAGAGAGTAAGAAGGCAGCTACCACTAGGCTGAGAAACTCCATGTTGAGCACGAGCAGAAAACATCCCCTGAACTCTTCCTGAAAATTACAAGCCAACTGCAGCCAGGGTCACACAGTTCCAACACGTGCCTCTGTTCTCTCTGTGCTAGCTGGACAGGGAGACAGTGGGTTGTACAGCAAGGGATCACTTGCTTTATTTCAACCATGCCAACCACCAGGTTGGACTGCCTTCTAACCTAGCACAGCGAATGATTATGTAGAAAGTTCAGCTTTCAGACTCTGCTCTGGGGCACATCTTGTACAGAGGTGGGTTCAGGACTTTGTCCTGACACGCATGACAATCAATTCTGAGGAAGAACCAGCACACACAAAGTAGTTCCACATCCCAAAAGAGCTTATTCATGCTTGTGTGGGTCTGTTTGCTTAAGACAAGTATTGGGATGAGAATGGGTCGCAGCACTTCTACCCAAGCTTTTTTTCCATCACAAAAAGCTGCTCAGATTACTTGTACTTTCCTTCATAAACTCACACCAATTATTAAAAAAAAAAAAGTCTAACAACAGGAAAAATGTTCTGAAACAGTTTTGAATTGGAAACTTGTTTATTTCAAAGTGTGTGCTTTTTCCATTTTTATAAAAATTTAAAATACTTTGATACTGTTTCAGACTGTAAGCAGTATCAAAGTAACACTGTATTATTATATACTATATAAACACATCTACACTATGTACATGTATACTACATTTGCATGTTTTGTGTGCAATTGTGTGTAGTATAAGGAAGCAGGCAGAAAACCTTGCTTCAAGGAACAGGAGAAGAAAAATCTGTTTATCTGATTACCGGAGGATTTCTGCGTCCAAGGAAGCCATGTCTTCATGGAAGACATATGGGGGGTTACTGACTATGAAGTCTGTGGGGCCCCAGAGTAGCAGCTGCTTGGCAGAATCTAGAAAAGAAAAAGCATCACAACCAGCTCTCAACCATAGCAATCTTCCCTATAAGCTCAGTGTCAAAATCCTATCCAGGAAACTGTCCCTCCAGACACATGCCCATGTGTGTTTGGCTCTGCTTTTCTCTAATAAAATTTTGTCCTATTTCTTTTTGGGATAGCCTGGCCTGCTCACTCTCCCACCTTGAATGCAAGAGTGATACAAAGCTAAGCACAGGCAAAGTATCATTTTTTCATATCAACAGCCCCGCTTAGCGGAACATGTTACAAAGCACAGACCTTGATACTCTGGAGCTCTGTGCCCATCTGGATCTAAAGCAACAACTGGAACTTGAGAGAGCCCACAAAGACCTAAGTGGGAGCTTAGACTAGCTGTTGGGATGCATATCCTTCCTCTTATCAGAGCTGCAGAAGGACCTCTAATGAGCAAAAGAGCCAGGCCCTCTCAGCAGTATCAACCATCTAATGGTTTGCTCTTCTGCAGACAAGGTTCAGCTCGCTACGCTCATGCTACTGTCTGGACTGACACATAGCAGCCCTGAATCAGACATCACGTAACCATGTGAGTGTGGCACTGTCCTCAGGCCAGCCTCTTGGCACAGGGCTTACCCATGCAGGTGCAATGCCAACACAGCTACATGGCTTTTGGACTGGCGCTGGCTGGCTTACTGCTGTTTGGAGTACGGGCAGCACAAACTCAGATTTGCGCTTAGAAGACTGTGCAGACATACCCCTCAGAGGTAGTACAGCGTCAAAACCAATAGTGTCAGAAAGGTGCACTAATGAATCTACAATGCTGGAGCTCCTGGCTAAGAAACAGCTGAGCACGTATCTACCTAACTGGATAATGAATCTACAATGCTGGAGCTCCTGGCTCCACAGCTCCTGGCTAAGAAACAGCTGAGCACATATCTACCTAACTGGACAAGCCTCACCAAATGGCAGTTTTAACTGGTTTCAGCCAGGTCCAGGGAAGACAATAGGTATCCTTCCTGGTTCAGCTCACCTAATTTCAAGTGAATAAGGCTGGGCATTTAATCTAAGCTAAATATCTGGGTTCCCTCTAACATCAATGGAAACACAGGAACATACATGTTTATCTAAAGCATCCATGTCAGCACGGAATGAATTACACTCTGTATATATTTGCCTTTCCCCAGTAACACTAGAGAGCACCTGGACTACCAGCTCAGGCACAACCTTTAGACACCTAAACCCAGGAACAATTCACCTTCTAACGTAGTCAGGGACTTCTCTCAGCTGATCATCTGGCCTGGAAATCTCTGAAGGGAAAAGCTTCACTGGCTCACTTCTTACTGACCTTTTTCTCTATTAACTTCAACACCCTCCTGACACCTGCATCCCAAGGTGGTCCCTTGGCTGTCTCTCACACCTGCTTCCCCCCATCAAAGTAAAAAGGGAGAAAGACAAAGGGGATTATAACAGTGAAAAGAGTTACTGTATGAAACATCATGGTGGAGGATGTGGATTCTCTCCTGGAGTTGCAGCCTGTAAAATTCCGGATGCAAGAACAGAAAGAAGAAAGATTAGGAGGCACGTTTGTGTGGATTCATGAACAGCACATTCTATGAACAGATCATTAAATATCACATCTCTTACCTGATACACGTATATCCTACCCCACTGACTGCAGCTGGATTCCTCTCAAGCCCCAAGGGAAGTTTAGGATCTGCTCTTTGCCCAAGGAACAAATTCAAAGCAAAGAGCACACTGTGCACCCATGGTGATTGCAGGGTGCGGCTCCTGTGCACCCAAAACCTGTACGTATAACCCCTTGCCATACATACAGCAGTATTCTCCCACCCTGCTGCATATTAACTACATCTCCAAGGCCTCCCCCAGGTAAGCTCACCATCCCTGAAAAAAACCCCACAAAAAACAAACAAAACAAAAAACCCCACAAACAAAACCCCACAACAAAATCACCTGCTTCAAATATGTAAACCTGCTATTGTAAGTGGAGACAACATTCTTTCTCCAGCCTCCTTGATAATCTAGATCTTAACAGTGTTCTGGCATCTGAGTGTATTTTCTAGGCGTCTTTGGATCTCATCTCACATGCCAATGTTAAGGTGACGAGATGTTGCTGCATACTACTGGGAGGCCAGCGCATACAGCGCAGCAGAACCCCCGTGCCAGACACAGAGCTAGGAAAACGGACTCCTTTAGGGACAGCTCATGCACAGACTGTACAGTATAATGTATTTAAAAAACACACTAGGCTCTCTCAGATGCTAGTTTCTAACTCATGATCTTTCTTGCCCTGACATCTCTGTGCACATTAATTGGGAAACACATGTTATGATCAGTGCCTTTCATCTGCAGCCAGACCTCCCCAGGGTGCTCACACCAGCAGAACCCCTGAAGGCACTAGAAGCCACAAACACCTCTCTTTACCTGTGACAAGTGAGCAAGTAAGCATGCTGGCTTGCTATTTTTAAGAAACAGGTCTATAAACACGTTGGTATTTCTTAGGAAGAAATCTTGGCCAAGATTCTGACCTGACTCACTGCACTAATCCAAGGTAGAACAGCCTTGAGACTGCCAGACTGTCACTGCATGGTGCTCCAGTCTGTCACAACCTGGCACGATCCATCCCTTGCTCCCAGCCTGCTACAGAATACGCTCCCTGCCAGGGGAAAATAGTTGAGACAACGATCCCCTTAAACCTTAGGAATCCTGAGCAACGTTCCCTTGATGCTCCTGGGACAGGAAAGAGAGGCCAGTCTGAAAGTAGCCTTGGTGCTTGGCGACAGCTCGATACTACAGATGTCACAGAAACAGAGAGCGTGAGACGGCAAGGAAGGAACAGAACCTCTAATTTCTCAGCTACGTGGTCCACCCACCAAAATACCTCTCTCTTCTCACCAGGTTTGCCTCTGGCTTTTGTGAAGACATTTGACCAATGTCAGAGGAACCACTTTGCAAAGTCAGAAAGACAAGGCTGGTCAGGATCTGCTGATGGAGAAAGACTCCAAGCCTCCCACAGGAGATGCCATTCCCTGACCAGCAGCAGCACATTGTGGCAGAGAGTCTGCACTGTCCCCTAACTCCCGTCCTCAATGCAGTCAATGTCTAGAGAAAACAAAACTGCCCAGCTCTTCCCACCATGTTCTCTCCTCCCACGAGACCCACCACAGCGGCAGTTTTCCTCTCAGCTCTTCAGTGTAACACCTCAGGGCTACCCAATGGGGTTCATAGAGCATGCTGCAACAAAGGCCTTATAGCCAAGTCCTACTTGCCTTTGCTGAGGGCCTATGGTACTGCCCTGTCAGCATACACAGGAATCAAGAAAGGGAGGGATTCCTGCATCTGTCTGCAACGTGTCCAGATGGGCCATCTGGCACTGGGATTGATTTAGTGAGAGCAAGACCCACCTAAGCATCTAGAGAACACAGCTGTGATAAGGGAGCTCTGAAAAGAAGACAGGAACCAAGCTGGCTTCAGTCAAGCAGTAACACAGCTTGTCCTACTGGCTTCTCTCCCAGGAGCTACAGGGCACCATGCCATGGACAAGATCACAAGGACACAATGAAAATATCCATGGAGAAATATGAGGCGCTCTGGCACTGCATTTACACTCCCTTGGCCACTCTTGAGCCAACAAGCAATGTTAATAACAAGACTATTTTTTCCAGATGTCAGAGCAATAATCTACCAAGGAGGCAAAGATCTGGCCTGCTTTTATTATATCTATGAAAAATTGCAACAGAACTTGGTTTGACACTGACACACCAGAATGAAATCTCTGCTCCCCACTCCCTATAACTGGACTAGGAGGCAAAGGGTGACAAGTTTGGGAAGGGCTTGTTCCTACACATCACTTCAGACTCACATTAGAGCTGGGACTGGTTTGCAAGAAGTGAAGAGATGCAGCTCAGTGCAGCCAGAAACAGAAGTAGCCTGTCTCTGTAGCCCCAAGGCTGGCAGCAGCTTGGGAAAAAAGCATATGTGCGCCCTGTGGACAGAAATGTCAGTTAATGAGCACCACTTAAGACTCACAACTGTACTAGACTCCATAAGAGGTAGCAATAGGAATCCTTTCCAAGACTGCTCTAATTAATGTCTACGGCCCAGCGGTTTCTGAGGATATGAATACATAATAGAGCTCTGTACCTTTTACAATGTCTACAGAGACTGGGATCCTGAACTCAAAAGCATACTGAGATTCTAGCTCTGGTGCTTGCTATGTTAGTGACAGTCCAGAGTAACCTGGGTTAAGAAGAACCAGCTGAGGAAGCGGTGCTGCTAGGAAGGACAAGGTCAACCGGATACAGAGCTGTTCTGACTTCAGGCACAAGATGCTTGACTCATTGCAGGGGGGTTGGACTAGATGACCTTTAAAGGTCCCTTCCAACCCAAACTATTCTATGATTCAGCAGCTGTGAACATCCAGCCACAGCGCAGGTGTCATGCAAACAGCAGGGGACCCAGCAGCACCATTCTCACCAAACCCAAGACTGCAAGGAGGATGCTGAGGGACACCAAACTAGCACATCAGAATGAAGGTGCTATTTGAGTGTGCAAGCTTGTATCTAGAGGAGCAACAACAGAAACAACCACAGCAATAATGATATAGGGAGCCAGAGAGAGAAAGGTTCAGGCTATACTTGTCCTTAACCTCCTAAGTGACGTATACATTCTTACTACCTGCCGCCTTGAGTTTCCCAAGTTCGCAGAAAGGGCTAAGAGTAGTTACAATGAAACACTCTGAAAGCCCTTGAAAGACAGACAGCATTTAAGTACTATTGTTTTATTTAGGCTGCTGTCTTTGCAAAGCGCATTCACAAGTCAAAGGAAAAAATACTCTGGTAAATATAAGCATTTTTTTTCTGAATTCTCACGTGTTTTAGGAGCTCAACCTAGGGAAACCAGGGAAACATCCCCTGGTTTCCAGTGGCGATAAACATGAACCACATGCCCAAATATTGAGGACCGTTGGTCTTTCTCAAACAACAATTTACAAGAAATGGGTAATATATGGCTTTGTACCTATGTGCATTCTCCCTGGTGAGATCCACAGCAGCTTTCTCTTTATCCACAGCTATCACCCGGCTCTGGGACAGGAAAAACAACAACAAACAAGTATTACAACATCAAGGTTCCTGAGCAGACATGCTCTGCCAAAAGGGACACGCAAGATAAGACACCTTTTGTCTAGTTACTCCACTACAGTCCTTGGACCACATTCACTGCATGTATTGACTGTGGGTACTTGACTGTGCGTCAAGTATTTGAGAGTCCTCCAGCGTAACATTAAGAGATAGGACTACACAGTTAGAGATTTGTTTGACCTTCTATTCCACCTTGGAAAAAGTGCAGGCAAAAGCCTGACTTGGTTTTGCTTTGCTTAATGTTTTTTAAACACAGATGTTGGTTAAGTATTTACATAGAGAAAGCATGCTCAAAGAAACTACTTTGCATTTGGAGATGATGTGATCAGCCATCATTCCTAGGGGGATTAATTTCACAGCCTGAGACTAGCACCCACACATGAAGTTGACCCTTAAGGCGAAGGACACAGCTGAATCCGTAAGTGAAAAGTTGCTATTGTTTTCTCAATACCCTAGCGCCAAATTCTGCCTCAAACACTAAAGAGATCACACAGTGTAAACTCTGCTTAGCTGCCAGTGTGGCTACCACTAACTCTAATCAGTCAAGGCTCCTTATTTGTCTGGGCACAGCAGTTTGTGTTAGTCAGCTGGGAAAGGACTGTTATCAGTTACAGGGACAGACTGACACAGCTCTTTAACTTAACAGGCAAGGAAAAGAGCATGAAGTACAGCTCAGAAAATCAGAGTAATTATACTCTGAAGTCATGAAGCTCAAGTATTAACCTTATCAGGCCACTGGGAGGAGGAACACAGGCATCAACCTCTAATTCTTACACACTAAGTGTTATAATTCTACAAGAGGAGGGGCTGGCCACAGCAACTCTCGTTCACGAGAAGAAACTGGCTGGTCTGCAATTCTGAGGAAAGGGAAATATTTTTCCCTTAACCACATGCAATGAGATCTTGGATTCATTTCTCTTTCTGTTTACCAACAGTATCTCAGTAAGCATGTTACATGCCACAATAATCAGGGGCAAGAAGGGCTTTGGTCACCCAGATCTCAGTCCCCTTCCTGCTCTTTTCAGTCTATTCAAAAGGTGTGCGTTGTTATCAGGCAACAAAAGACTTCAAAAAAGTAGTTCGGCAGTTGTGGCAGTGTGACATATGCTTGTCATATTTATCCCAAGTACTGACACTTCCATGGTAATCTCTTCCCTGTATTCATTTAGTCTTCAGTCTCCTAGAGACAAGAACTTTCGATTCACAGCAAGGTGATTTTTAGAGATGACTGCCCCATAAATTTGACTAATAGAGTGTGTGCCCATGCCTCAGTCCCTCTTGTCCACAGTCCAGGATATTAGCTTAAACCAACACCCACCAGTGCTTCAAGCTAAGGTGATTAATAGTGAGCTGTGACAGCTGAAGAAAGAGCACATTTGCTTCTTCCATTCTGACTACATCTCCACTACTCCTGCGGACAGCTGGGGAGAGCAATTCCTAAATATCCATCTTCCACCTAGCATGAACTTAGAGCCTGACTGTCAGAGACCTTAGCTGCTGAAGTCCCACCAAAGCAAAGAAGTCTGTCTGTGAAGTCTCAATGAAGACTAGTAGAGGGGGATTGTCCTGTAGCATGGGCATCTATTGTACCATGAGCACTGGAAAAAGCTCACCTGTGGCAGTTTGCACAACAGACTCAAAGCAATTGCTCCAGAGCCACAGCCGATCTCCAGGATCACAGGATGAGAGACAGAAACGGGGAAGCAGAGGCCTGAATTCTTCTCACATTTCTGAGATTCTTCCTCCACAACTAAAGAGACGAGATCCTAACAAAACAACAACAACAAAAAAATCTAAGTGAGCTGTTTTGACTCGCACCTTTTTGGTCTGAGGACTGGAGTTTAAATTTCTTGACTCTGTAGCCCAATGAAACGTATTTTTGTTGCTAATTTTTAAAACACAGATGGCAGCAATGGAACTGACATGCCAGAAGTCACTTCAGCTCCATCTCCCCCACAGGGTGCTTTGATTAGTAACCAAATCCTCAGGATACAATTTCTCACAGATCCTCTGAAATCTTCTAGCACTGTTGGGAAAAACAATAACCAAACAGCTGGAGCACATTATCTTCTGTAAAACCATTTTATTTACTCCAAAATTCCAGCTTTCAGACTGTCTCAGTGTGGTATGTAATCTGGAGACAGAGGTACAGCTCCTAATAGCATCTAAACCAATAATCCAACCTGCAGATGAAAAGCAAAGGCAATGAATTACTAAATGATCCAAATGAGCAGCTCCCTGCGTGGATTTCAGATTGTGGACTCCTACTACATTTTGTTGGTATAGTCACATGGAAAAGATTTTCATCCATGCTCCTGGATCTGTATGTGTCTCTGCCATCGCTGCCTCCTCCCTCCCGTCAATCTCCAATCCCTCAATCAATCCCTCCCAATCAATTTTTAAATCCCTTCACAATTTCATATAAACTCCAACACAGCAGGAGAGGTCTCAAAGATACGCAGTTCTAAGGTCTGTGAAAATGAGTGACTGGCTACAAGAGAAAGCACGCATGTGCCTCCCTCAGACTGCAGCATGAACTTCCCTTGCTATTCACTGGAGAAAACTATAAGACAGAAACCTTGTAAACACCTTGAGTGCATCAGCAGCTTCAGCAGGTGCTCACAGCTCCCTGCAATCCTTGTGCTTTCATGGCACAACAGTACAGAAACAAGGCCTTACTGCCCAAGGCGCTCCCACGATGGCTAGGTTATTTCACTTGAGAGGTCTGCTCTTGGATCTCTGCCGTAAATCCAGAAAGCTTAACAAAATTTACAAAGAATAATTGGCTTGATTTTGCCAGCAGTTAAAAAATTAATGGCCTTCCATTTTTACAAGGAATCTTGCATGTTCTTGGCATAAGCAGGAATATTTAAAAGCAACATGTCCTGGCAGGCAGGTCAGCTTCTCTTTAGTAAAGCAATGGCTTTTTTCAGGAGCCTAAACTGGGTATGCTTGTACATAAGGGCATAAGCCCTTCCTTGGATATATCACCCTAACTGGGGTGCAGTGTAATAGATGCCTTGTGCAAAGCTGTAGTTTTATGAAGATATTTGTTGCTGTTGGTCATCCTTTGTGCTAAGCCAATTTGTATCTGCAGTAAGTAGATACAGAGGGAGGATGCAAACAGGTATAAAAACAAAGTGTTAGGGTAGATGAGCTTCAACGAAACATCCCCAGCAGCAGAGCACCTGAGACATGGGCTGTTTTGTCAGACAGTATTTTCTGAGGTTCCCACAAGACGTGAACTGCTTTTAAACATATTAAAGTACTGTGCCCGTGCATGCAAGCACACACCCAGTGCTTAGAGAAGTGAAGCTTGCACTACTTCACAGTCCGGGATGGAGAAACAGGCATATTTCAACATTGTCTGTGCCTTGCAAAGCCAGGCAGCTTTGAACCACTCCATTGTAATAGAACCCTTTGCCTGTTGATTCCTCCTGCTGAAAGAGCCCGAAAGCATAAGTAAAAAGGAAAGATTTGGTTTATTTGAACGTGTAAACACTCCATAGTTCCTCTAGTAAAATTACTGCTTCTTCAGACCAGCTTTTCCGAGCCTTTGCCATTTTCAACTCAGCTGTGTTAGGCTTTTCCAGCAGCCTGGCCCTGCCAGCAGTAGCCTTTTGGGAGCCACTGGCTCCTCAACTTTCTTTAGGCTCCTTTCCACAGCCACAGACTTTTGGGGCCTTCGGGGGCTTTTTAGCAACAAGCATCTTCCACTGTTTTCATTGTTTTCTCTCAAATCTTTTCCAGCTGTTGAGCTGGAAAGAGCCAGAGATGTCCATGCCTTTGCTCACCAGATACTCAGTGACAACAGCCTTCGTCCTTCTCCAGACTGTGCCCTCTGCCTTCCACAGCTTTCAGTGCTCCTCAGCGATGAGCTCCGTTGTGCTCATACCCAAAAGCCCAAGAGGGAACAAGAAGCAGCCCACAGGCTGGAGGGCACTATTCTGAGAGGCCTCTCTCAGCGGTGTGTCTTCACTGCCAAGTTAAGTTTAGTGACTGATACCTAAGCTAGCCTCAGCCAGGTAGGAGGAGCCACACTGCAATGCCCTACCCTGGTTACCAGGTCATTATTGGCACTGCACTCATAAGGGAGTTTTGCTAACAGCCTCCAAAATCATATTCCTTGTTGCTGCTCTGGGATTCCTTTCCTAGACAACTACGGAGGAAAACATTCTTATAGGCTCTCAACAGGACTGTGGGAAACCATTAGAGGACTACCAGCACTCAGATAACAACAGGGAAAAATAAACACCTTATCTACCCACATTTGTGTGAAAATGGCTTTTGCCTTTCAGCTAACAGCTCCAGATGAATCAGTCTGAAAACACTTCTGCCATGGAGACAGCCAGAGATTGTAACCGCAGCTGGTTTGGAGAAGCAGGTGCTGATGATTCCAAGACCACAGAAGAGGAGCCACCCAAAAAATTCTGCTCAGCCATTAAATCACTCTTTTAAATACCAGCCATTTCTGGTCACTTACAAATATTTCCAGGAAATCTCTACAGTAACTCAGAAGAACGACCTGTCTCCAGGGCTAATCACAGAGAGGCACAAGTTACTGATTTCAAATGTCCAAATGTAACTTCCATACAGTAGAACTATTGTCAGCATTTATTAACTTCCTTAAGGTTTATCATTAGCAATTTCAAGCTTGGAGTTTTTAATGGAACTTCTACTTAACACATTCCACAATGAAAGTATTTTTAGAGTGCTTGCCAAAGCTCCTATTTAAATATGACTGATTTCAGTTTTTACCACAGGTATATTAAAAAAGGAATGTTGGTATTACTTAGGCTTCGTATCCTACTTCCTGACTCCGTTGCCTTATTGTTTTGGTTATTTCATATACTTCTTACTGAGGCAAAGGCTAGTTCTCTCATAATACACGTTTATCATAATAGTTCAAAATTAAATTATATTAAAAATAATGTGACAACCTAAAGAAACTACATCCTTTTCCAGACATCAGTAGCTCACTACAATCAAAAAGTTCAATAATTATGAAAATAAATTCTTTTATGAAATAAATTTGATTGGCAAGCAAAACAGAAGGTGTATTCTAACTGGCAAATTAGGAAAAAATTACTAGTACAGATCATTCGATGTTGAATTAAATTTGCAATTATGTATGTATTAAAAGCAAGAAGTAAAGACAAAACAATGTACTGGAATAAGACATTTTGTAATTCTGCATTAACTGGCTGTGATACCATGATCCTTTTCTTCACTTACAGCTTTCACGTGAAAACCACATTTCCCCAACATCTGCAAAAGAATCAGGAAAACCCAGCAACCACGATACAGAGTATGTCCAGTTAGCCCCCTGCCATTGCCACTAGGTTTCCTTTTCAGAAATCATGAATGATTAAGTTATCCAAAATTGTTTTGAAATAGTATTCTTCAGATTCTTCTCAGTATTTTTCATCTTTTAGCAAGCGATACAGCCAAAATCTGTGCTTCTCCAAGCACACCATCATCTCCAAGATGTCACCACTGGAAATTGGTAAATTACAGCACTTTGCAGAACACAGCAGAACCACTTTCAAATCTCATCTTGGGAGATTAAGTATTTCGGGCCATGCATTACAGTGTTCATACAAAGACTACAAAATACCCTGCAAGACAGACATTCCCTACCTCTGTGCAAGAACCTGACTAGAGCCACAGCTGGGGAACAGCAACAAAGAGGCAGAAGGTGCTAAAAGAGATGCCAGTCCCAGACACAGAGAAACTGGGACAACAGCAGATGGCCAAAGGCTGTGGTCTTTATTGTGTAGGATACCTCACAACTTCTCAGACTGAACAGATTCAGAGCACAAACACCTGCTAATATAATGCCATCATTGCTAAAAGCCGTCTTAACCGTCAGTTTGATCACCAGCTCTAAAGGTTGAGAGATGAAATTACAAATATTCCACTGGGAAATAAGAGAAAACACTTTGGCAGCCTAGGTAATTAACCTTTGGAATATGTCAGGTAAATTCTCCACAATCTGGCACTCTAAACTGAAATGGCAGGCCGTTCAAAAGGGCTTACCTTCACTCACACCATTTACAGGATTCAATACATCAGAGAGAGAAATGTCCTTCACTACAGAAAAATGCTATTTTGGATAAAACAAAGACTTGACAATCAGTGTGTCTTTATAGTCTCTAAAAACAGGAAAATGAGTTAGCTTGCTCAGGTGCCTTGTCCCTGCAACATGCTGAGCACTTCAGTACCTTTAAAACATTTATCCTCACAACTCCTAGTTTCCAGATGAGCAACTGTAAAACAGTGACTATCCCAAACTCATGAAGGAGGACTATGGCAGAGCAGAGCATTGAACCCAATGCTCAGAAGCCTCATCTGCACCTTTCCAATGACACCACTTGATATCATGGAAAAGGGTCCCCCAAACTCCAGTCAGGAACAGGCAGGTCTACAGTTGTGTGAGGGCAACTGACCTCCTGCAGAAAAGCAGAAGTCACAAAGATCAGAACCAGATTCCCACATCATCTAAACAAACAGTGCTTGGCTGCTCTTGAATTGTCTTTTTGTTTTTACTGTTGTAGATAAAAAACTGTAAGTATAAAAAAAAAACACCCAGAGTGCTGTATTAAGGAGAAAGTAAAATTGTAAATTAAAAAAGTACCTTAGAAATGTGACCTGATTCCATATTTACCCACAGCATGCTAACCACTGGATAGGATGAATGCTCAACTGTGGAGTTATTAAAATTCACATTATTGTTTACAGTATGCGTCATTATTGTCAGTAACAA